CACCTCCCCTGGACCCTGACACTCCAGCCCTTTCTCCATAAGCTCACAGTGCAGGGACCCAACCCCCACCCCACTCCTTCACTCCTCAGAAAGGGTAAGGCCTCCCATGGGAGTCAAAAAAGCATGGCATACCAAGTTGAGGCAGTACCAAGCTCCTCCCCCCTGCATCAAGGCTGAGCAAGGTATCCCACCACAGGAAATAAGTTCCAAAAAGCCAGCTCACGGACTAGGGACAGGGCCTAGGTCGGTCCCATGCAGGCTACCTAGCTTTTTGTATCTAGAGTCCGTGAGCTCCCATGAGCTTGGGTCAGCTGTCTCTGTGGGTTCCCCGTTATGATCTTGACCCCCTCCCCTTGCTCAGGTAAACCCTCCTCCCTCTCTTCACCTGGACTCCCAGGGCTCTGCCCAGTGCTTGACTGTGGATCTGCATCTGCTTCTGTCAGTTACTGGATGAAGGCTCTATGAAGACAATCAGGGTAGTCACCAATCTGATTACAGGAGAAGGCCAGTTTGGGCACCCTCTCCATTATTGCTAGGAGTCTTAGCTGGGGAACTGATTGTTTTTCACATATAAAAGTTCAGATTTTTTATTTTTTTATAAGATTACATTTTGAGGCAAATAATAAAATGATTGATCTTTTCTTTGTAACTGCAAAATGCAGCCTGCCAGTAAAAGAACTGGCTGAGAAAAATACCTAGCCTGCTTACACTTTGTTAATCTATAACAAGTTACTTAGACATGAATGTATGTGGGTCCTTAGGAATAATTTGCTTTTCACCTGTAATACAGAAAATGTTTAATCATATAAGGGATATGGGAAGCATGCTATTTTTTTACTTGTATTCATTGTAATCATTCATTTAAAAAATAGAATGTAACTACATTGTAATCTTTATATTACTCAAAAAATTTTGCTGGGGTATATTAAGCTGTAAGGGAAAAATAGAGTCAGAGGAAGACAAAAGGAAAGCGTTAGAAGAAGAACACCAGGAAAGATGTAAGGGAAAAAATAAGAGAGGCCTGACATGTTGAAGGTGTGTGTGTGTGTGTGTGTGTGTGTGTGTGTGTGTGTGTGTGTGTCCCCCTTTTTATTTTTTGTTTGTTTTTTTGTTTTTTCGAGACAGGGTTTCTCTGTGTAGCTTTGCACCTTTCCTGGAACTCACTCTGTAGACCAGGCTGGCCTTGAACTCATAGAGATCCGCCTGGCTCTGCCTCCCAAGTGCTGGGATTAAAGGTGTGCGCCACCACCGCCTGGCTTGTTTTCCCCTTTTTTACTGGCCCCAGAGAATTAAGTTTTGCCCCGCTTACTGGTCCCAGAGAGCTAAGTTTTACTCCCTCAGATAAAAAAAGTCAATTGTTTGATTATCCACACCTCCCCTTCAGTCCCTGAGCTGCTGAAAACTGGCCCTTCAGGAGCACCCAATGAGATGCTATCTAAAAATAAATAATTGAAATGAGAGGGCATAGAGACTTGCTCCAAGTTCTTGGAAGCTGCTAAAACTAACAATGTATGGCAGAGTTGTATTCTCTGCAAAGAAGCCCCGAAAGGCTGTTGCATGAATCTGTGAAAGTGGAGCTTTAGTTTCAGTGGATGGCACAGGATACTAAAGACACAGCCCATGTCCAACATCTAGGGAACAGAGAGATCTTTGGAGCTTACTGGCCAGCTAGTCTTGCTAAATCAGTGATGTCCAGGTTCACAGATAGATCCTGTCTCAAAAATCAAATGTAAAGTGGAAAATGATAGAAGATACTCAACATTGACCTTTGGCTTACATGTGTTCTCTCTCTCTCTCTCTCTCTCTCTCTCTCTCTCTCTCTCTCAAAAAAAAAAAAAAAAAAACCAATAGAATGTGGGTATTTGTTCCTGAGGTAGCCTGGGAAGATTTGAGCATAATTTCCACACCCAAGGCTCACATTGTTCTTGGCAGAATACAGTTGACATGCTCACCTCTCCAGGAACAGACTCAAAACAACTGGTTCTGTGTTCTTCTTCTGGTTTGCCTGCCTCACCCCTTCTGCATAGTGTCCTTTCCTTCCCTCCTACTCTGATTTCATCAACAACTCCCTGTGCTCGCTAGTTTAAATTGTCAACTAGCCCCAACCTAGAAGCCCCTGAGAAAAGGTCTTAATGAGGAATCATTGAGATCAGGTTATCTGTAGGCATGTCTGTGGAAGATTGTCTTAATTTAGTTAAGGTGGAAAGACCGACCCTGAATGTGGGCAGTTCCATGTCATGGGCAGGGCCCTAGACTCTGTAAGAGTGAGGAAAGCCAGCAGCAACTGGGTTGGACAACCTGAGTTCAGTCTTCGGGACCCACTTGATATAATGAGAGAAAGGATTCCTTCAAGTTGTCCTCTGACCTCTGCATGCACACTCAATATGTTCAAACATACACATCATGTGTGCATGCACACAATAATTGAAAAAAACAAAAATGGGGCTGGGGAGATGGCTCAGCCATTAAGCGTACTTGCTGCTCTTTCAGAAGACTGGAGTTCAATTCCCAGCACTCACATTTGGCTACTTTCAGTTCCAGGGAACCCAACACCCTCCTCTGAACTCCTTAGTCACCCCCACGCAAGCGGCACACATACACATAAATAATAAAATAATTCTAGCTGAATATAGTGACACACTCCTTTAATGCCAGCACTTAAGAGGCAGAGGCAGGCAGATCTTTGTGAGTTCTAGGCCAGTCTGGTCTACATAGAGAGCCCAGGCCAGTAGGGGCTACATAATGAGACTGTCTTAAATAAACGAAAATTCACTGGGAGGGAAAAATCCTTCCTTAAAGTATGGTATGCCTAATAAAAAGATAACACATTATAAGCATGTTGTTACCAGTACTTCATAAGGAGTATGAGAACGCCGGAAAAGGGAAATCAAAGGTGATTGATATTTGATGGTAATTCACAGGGTTTGAGCTTGTGTCTTAGCAGAGGCGGCAAGGACCTGAGGGTATGCAAGGACTACAATTCCCAGAAGGCCTCTGTGCGGGCTCTGGGCCGGATGCAGTCTAGGTCTGAGCTCTGCTGGTCCGAGCTGGGCTGGGGTCTCTGGCTTTGCATTTATGGAGGTCCCTAGCAAGGCAGTGATTGTTCCCGGGAACGGAGGCGGGGATGTGGCCACCCACGGCTGGTACGGGTGGGTGAGAAAGAGGCTGGAACAGGTAAGGAATTTCAGCCCCTGCTCCTCGGTCAGCTTGGCGCGGAGCAGAGGGAGGGAGGACGAAGGGTGAGGCTCGAGTTTGTGCCCACTCTCCTCCAGTTGAGCCCAGTGTGTGAGTCCTCGACGGTGCTGCCCAGTCTTAGATCTAAACTAGTGGCCAGGATCTTGCCTGGCGAAGCAGCTCAAAAAGCGGAGGGCTCAGTTCTTGAAACTGAAAGGAACCCTCTTCTGCAGCTATAGAGAATGCCCTCCCTCCAATCTGCGGCCAGTTCAGATTCGAGATTTCCCAGATAATTTTATGTTAATATTCATTGCTTTAGATTTTTTTAATTCGCCATGTGACATTTAATATACACAAAGAATGTATATAACGTGTAATAAACTACCACACTGAGAAAAACAAATTTCGGTGCTATTCAAGCCCAAGGCGTCTTTGATTGTGTGCCCTGTACCATTGAGCCATAGTCTCAGCCCAGATTAAACTCCAGAACATTGCCAGTATCTTCTAACTGGATCTGTCTGCTTCCTGTCCTATCCCTATGACAGTCTGAAGTTCATTTTGCTTCTCTTTAAATTATTGTATGCAGGAGGCTCATGTGGAGCTAAGAAGACAACTTTGTGGAACCAGTTCTCTTTCTACCTTTACATGAGTCTGGGAATCAAACTCAGGTCGCCAGGCTTGCACTGCAAGTGCCTTTGCCAGCTGAGCTGCTGTCCTGGCCCTTTTGCTACACTTTTTAAAACTTAAAGTATTTTTAGAACTCATGTGTATAATCTTGTATGATATTGTTTAATGTGGCTTCTTTGTGAGCTTTATAGAAACAGCATCGCACCCCAGCTCATCCTGTGCTGCTTGACTTTTAAGAAAAAAAGCGTTCTTTCTCCCATAGTCCAGCAGTTAGACAGTTTGCTGCTTTGGCCTCTAGCATAGAATTTCAGTAGATAATAGAATCCATTTGGAATAAAACTCCAGGGTTGTGGCTGAAAGCTGTGGGCAAAGCTAACAACTCAGGTCGAGCTGGAAATGGCCAATAGGATGGGATCACCGGCTTTCTCTATGGTGTCTCTATATTATTTTTTACTTTCTTTTTGGGGCACAGTCTGGCTCAGGTTATTCTGTCTTTAGCACATTCTCATAGACCTTCTCTATAGATACATGCCTTGAAGATAAATATAGATTGCAAGTGCAGACACCGGTCTCTGTAGAGTTCTACAAAGCTGGATAGAGAACTATACATGGGGTGTATATTCATCTGTAACACAACTTAATCCATTTCATTTCATAATACCAGCAAATATTTACTGAGTTGAGCAAGATCATCTCAGGTGTCACCCTTTTTTTTTTTTTTCAAAGTTTTAGTTGCAATTAAGCTCTTTATTATAGCTTTTTCTTCCCCCTTATATCTCAGATTCCTGGTTTCCAGTGTTTGGCTAAAAACATGCCTGACCCAAGTAAGTTTTAAACTTGTTTTTGAAAAGCCTCATCTCTTAGATTTTGAGCTCACCATTTGGGGGTGGGGCGGGGAGAGAGGGGCTAAAGCAGGGATATCGTAGTGAAAGAACAAAGATAAATACATACTAAGAACGAGTAAAGCAAGGAGCTCTGGGCAGGTGTAAGCAAAAAAATATGAAAGATTTCAGTGAGAATCAAGAGAAGCACCTGGGTATGGTAAAATTTAATTTTTAACTTTGTAAGCTAGCAACTTTATTTTCCCTATTAAATGTCCACAGACATTTTCAGGCAAAATTTAGTTATAACGGATCAAATGAAGCCTTACAGAATCTAAATGAGTTCCTAAATGTTTAAAAATATAAGATTTTCCCTTTTTTTTTTTTTTTTTTTTTCGAGACAGGGTTTCTCTGTGTAGCTTTGCGCCTTTCCTGGAACTCACTTGGTAGCCCAGGCTGGCCTCGAACTCACAGAGATCCGCCTGGCTCTGCCTCCCGAGTGCTGGGATTAAAGGCATGCGCCACCACTGCCCGGCAAGATTTTCCCTTTTGTTATGGGTGTGTCTTGGTTCAGGCAAGAAATAATATATACTATACATGGGTTTTAGAATGTTGTCGTGTGTGTGTGTGTGTGTGTGTGTGTGTGTGTGTGTGTGTGTGTGTGTTTTGTTTTTCTTGGTGCTGAGACTGAACCTGGAGGTCTCACACCCCTGGGTAAGCACTCTGCCTCTGAACTCTACCTCCAGCTTGGGGGTATTTGTTTCCAAAGTTCAAATTTTTACATGAAAATTTCAGAATTGAAACCAGAATTAGTGGTATATGCCTTTAATCCCAACAGTTGGGAACCTGAGACAAGAGAATTCTGATGCGGCTACAGAGAAAATTACATGTAACCTGTGCTACATAGTGAGGCTCTTTCTCAAAAAAGAAAAAAAAATGGGCTAAGGGGGAGGGAAGCTTCACTTCGGTTGTAATGTATTATTTCCTTTTTTAAAAAATATAAGAACGTGGTGGGGGGAGCAAAACTGTTTACTAAAATCACAGGACAGAGGTCCTGGGCTCTGCTAAAACAGCCTCCTCTCCCACTTCGGCCTCAGTTTCAAAGTGGTGAACTGCTGTTTATTAGGGAGGTGGGACTGCCCCCGCTGAGTACCAGACTGTTTTACCCTGAACACAGTTACAGCCCGAGAGAGCATCTGGCTGCCCTTCATGGAGACAGAGCTGCACTGTGATGAGAAGACCATCATCGTAGGCCACAGCTCCGGGGCCATCGCAGCCATGAGGTAAGACCCTGCAGAATTGCTAACCCCGGTCTGGGCTGGAGCCATGCTTGCTTGGGAAATAGTTATGTTTCTTAAGTTTCCATTGCAGAGGTAACAATGCTGACCTCAAAATGGTAACATCATCTGCCTTAATTTCTTCCTTGTTTGCTAAGGGATTAAAAGAAACCAATGGCTTTTACCAGGTGCAGTGATCCTTTTAAAGTTTCTGTAGCTCCAAAGCTTCCTGTTGCTCAGCTCTGATGTCTCTCTTCTCCCAACCAGGCATACTGACGTCATTGTAGTTCCTGGAATATGCCAAGCACACACCTGCCTTATCCTGCTCAGCCTTTTAGCAGGAACACTATCTTACAAGCTGCCTGGCTTTCTCTTACAGTGTCTCTGCTTAAATGTCCCATTTTGGGTGAGATCTTTAATAATTCCATTTAAAAGAGTAGCCTCAACCTACTGGCTCCTATCTCCTTTATATTTTATTACCTATAGTACTTTACCATCCAACATACATTGATTTCTTGTCTGCCCCTATTATTAGAATGGACACTCCGTGAGGGTGGGACTTTGTTCACTAACAAGGAATTGCAGTGTCTAGGAGAGAGACAGAGTAGATGTTCAATAAATACCTCCTGGAGAATAGAGGTTGCTTACCTCTACCTACCCACAACCCCCTAACCCTTGGGATTCACATGTACACACATTTGCTTCTATCAGAATCTTCTCCACCAGTCTGGGGGTAAGGAATTAGCTGGCCAAGCTGTCTGAGGTTGGGCTTCTTCCAGATTTCCTTCCCTGGTAACAAAGGCTGTTCCAAGCAGTTATTCAAGATACTCTATGGATTGTATGTCATAGAATCTTGCCAAATTCTATAACCTTTCAGCTACATAGGTTCAGGGGGTGGGGATAACAGTGTGTTTTAGTGCCAGGCAGTGGTGGTGCTCACCTTTAATCCCAGTACTTGGGAGGCAGAGGCAGGCAGATCTCAGTGAGTTCCAGGACAGCCACGACTGTTACACAGAGAAACCCTATCTCAACCCCCCCCCCCAAAAAAAGGTATTTTAGCACAGAACCAGTGAATTTGTAACACACTCTGTCCTTTTCTTTGTTTACCAGCCATTGGTGAAGATGTAATACTTTTAATGAGTCCTCTGAATTTATTAGGATTGTCAGCAACCTTCTAAGAATTAACTTCTAAAGTTGAGAGGCAAAGAAAAATGATGCCCAAATCATTAGTGTAAGGGTGTGAGCAGGCAACTAATACAATCAGAAGGGACATGCTAGCTGACTTATTAACTACGAAGGGATATTGAGCCTTTTCAGTAGAAAGTGCTGGGAACACCTTAACAAGCAATCAAACTTGGTATCAATAGTGGGACACTGGGGGCTGGAGAGATGGCTCAGCAGTTGAGAGCACGGGTTGCTCTTCCAGAGGACCCGGGTTCAATTCCCAGCACCAACATGGCAGCTCACACCTGTGTCTGTAACTCCAGTTCCAGAGGATTTGACACCCTCACACTAATGTCCATAAAGTAAAATTAAATAAATTATTTAAAAAAAAATAGTGGGATACACATTATGTGTCCCTGACATAATGGGAAGGCTATCTTGTCAAAAATGTTTAATCTCAGTCCATGAGAAAATAAATTCATTTTAGGGAACTGACCTAAACGCCTTTATAAAGAATATAGGCAATGTAAATTTACTGGGTATAATGACGGCACTAAGGCTATCCGTAGAGGACAAATACTAAGGTAAGTGTGAAGTGTGGCAGTCGTACTCAATCTGGTGCCTCTTTTCCTTTCATGTCTTCTGTGGTTTGATATTTCTTGAGTAACCAGCTGGGAGGAAAAGTTTTATTCTCAAGAATGAAATTCTAGCCCTAAACATTCCCTAGCAAAAAGCTTCTTCAGACGTCTCTCCCCTTTCCTTATCCTGCTCTTGGCTGAGCGAGGGCATCTGCAAATAGTGAACTGCTGGTCTGCTGGTAGGGTGCTAGTCAGAGGGCAGTGAGGCTTTTCCTGCCCTTAAGGAGCCAATGATAGTTTGTCTGGGAGTGGGGACAATTATAATGACACAAACGAGAATGAATGTACAGGGGGCAGTAGAAGTATCTTTCTGGCAATGTCCATTTTTTCTTAAATTGTAGGTTCCTGGGCCTTAATCCCATTTCTCTGAACTCCATGCTCTGGGGCTGAGCCCAGGAATCTGAATCAGAATGTTGACCAAATTAAATAATGCTGACACATACTAAAGGTGGCTGAATGCACACGTTAGTGATTGATTTTCTTGCTGTTTTCCATCTGTCTCAGTGGCATATACCACCTTTCTGTGAACTCACATCACATGGCGTACAGTTTTTCAGATTTAATAACACCATGTATTACTGACACTATCTTTCTCACCGCAGGTACGCAGAGACACATCAGGTATATGCCCTTGTATTGGTGTCTGCGTATACTTCAGACTTGGGGGATGAAAACGAGCGTGCAAGTGGTAAGTCTTTAGGGAGAACACCCAAGAAAGCCCTTCCCTAGACACAGGACAAACTGCTCAAGTTACAAAGCAGTTATTCTCTCTCAGCCCTTAAAAAAAAATAGCAAATGAGAGACTTTCCACCTACCTTTGGAGTAAGGCAGATCTCTTTTCCAACCTGAAGTCTCGAATGAATCCCAGGACCTGGTTTTATTTGAGCCTTACTTAGTCTTTGCAAGTCAGTATGGTATCAAGCCTTACAGATAGGAAAACTGAAGAACTGTTCTGAACTCAAGCCCCTGGTCCTTTGCACCTCTGAGGGCCCCACTAGGTATTTTCAGATGACTAGAGTGACTATTTATGCATATTGATAGGCTATTTTTTTCCCCCACAGGGTACTTCAGCCGCCCCTGGCAGTGGGAGAAGATCAAGGCCAACTGCCCTCACATTGTACAGTTTGGCTCCACTGATGACCCCTTCCTTCCCTGGAAGGAACAAGAAGAAGTGGCAGATAGGCTGGATGCCAAATTGTACAAGTTCACCGACCGTGGTCACTTTCAGAACACAGAGTTTCATGAACTGATTAGTGTGGTGAAGTCTATGCTCAAAGTACCAGAATAGTGAGGATGATGCCTGCCCTGTAACGTGCCAGGATGGGGTAGAAGAGCATATGTTATCCCAGTACTAGACATGTAATGTCTGGTTAAGTGCCTGAAAAACAAGCCTGTTTGAACACTCACACTAAGTTACTAGCATCTTCAGTTCCCACAGAACTTGAATCTTCTTGAAAAGCTGTAACTATAGCAGTATTTTTTCCTTGTACTGATAAGGGACACAGGGTGTTTGTTTAGCCATCCTGTTGATCCAAAGAGTAAGTCTGAAGTAGAACCAGACATGGTGGTGTGTCCCTATAATCCCAGCACTTCAGAAGAGAAAGCAGGGGACCAGGAGATGAAGGCTAGCCTCACCCTGTCTCAGAAAAGAAAGAACAAATAGACCCGGGTATCCTGAGTCTCATTCCAAATTATAACTCAGTAGCTTTTGCAAAGTGTTACCCACTCCTGAGACCCTAGTACTTGGGAAGCTGAAGGTGGATCTTGAATTTGCCTACCTATGCTAAATATTTAACAAAACTGTCTTCAAAAAACAAAAACAAAAGAAAAACTAAACAGGTTTTCATGCAAAGTATATGAGTGACATCTTTTCCTTTTTGAAATAAAATTTTTCTGTTACTGGGGGGAAGTAAACATGATTAAAGGTCCAAAATGTTCTTAGAACTCAAAAGTCTAGCTGTTGCTTCAAGCTGGCTCAGGGTAGTAAACTCAAACTTGGGTCTTCATCACTCAAATCCCTGACCCCACCCCAGTCCCTAGGTCCTTCTGACAGGTTGAGGGACCAACATATAAGGATGTGAGTCAGGAAGCTCCAGGGGACAGATATCTGCATAGCCTGCCACCTGTATTCCAACTTAAGACTAGCAGGATTAGGTCATGTGGGAGTGCTGTAATACAGAAATGTGACAAATATCTGTCTTTTTTTTAAAGCTGGGGAACATATACATGTATGTGTGTGTGTATGAATTATGCTAGCTGTCAACACTGTAAAAGGTCTGCAAAAGCTACAAGACCAGCTTGGTCTACAGAGTAAGTTCTAGGACAGCCAGTACTACACAGAGAAACCTTGTCTCAAAGAAAGGCCTAAGGTAACCAAAATGAACATAATGCTAAACGGTGGAAAACAAGGGGGCAATTAGTACTGTTAAGTATCTTCAAAAAGAACTTCTCCACGATTCAAGTTTAATTCTGTAGAGTTCAACCTTTTAACTTCTAGAGATCATTTAAGCATCATTCCAGATTTTTCTTATATTCACCAAAAAAGAACCCCTTTTAAAAAGTACTTTTATATTATCATATATTTGATGTATAAAATGGTTTCATTATGACATGTTCACTCATGTTTATAATGTACTTTGATCATATGTAAAAAATAAAAATAAAACCTTTATTTCCCAGAATTTCCTGACTGTTGTGATGCTAAAGCTCTCCAGTGTACTTAAACTTGATGACACAGAACCTGTGACAGATATAGAAATGTGATTTTCCACACTTTTATCCCTAGATGGGGTGCAAAGCTGTTGTGAAATGATTTGGGGGTTTCTAAATGCAATATAAGTCACAAAATACTCTTTAACTTTTAACAATATGTATCTTTGGAGAGAAAGACAACCATATAGGTCTACTCTAAGTGTTCACGTGAGAATGGATAATATCAGGAATAGTTATCAAGTGAATGTATGTATGTATGTATGTTTTTTGAGACAGGATTTCTCTGTGACGCCCTGGCTGTCCTAGAACTCCCTCTGTAGAGGGAGTTGAACTCACAGAGATCCTCCTGCCTCTGCCTCCCAAGTGCTGGGATTAAAGGCGTGTGCCACCACCTGGCAAGTGAATATTATTTTTACCCTGTGGCAGAAAACAAATTGTGAACTAATGTTATTTATATGTTAATGACTTTAAGAATTCAAAAACAAAAGCAGAGGAAAATAATTATTAATCTCAAATGCAAGCAGATTATAGGTTTGGTCCAATCACTGCTAAGGAGCCTGCTTCCATTAGATTTATCTATTAATGTTTTTAAATTAATTTTTTTAACCTAACTTTAAAATGAGTTGTTAAAATCTTAATTGTAAACTAATACATTTCAGTGTGAGATTCAGAAATTCCTGGAGGGAGAGAATACAAGGAAGCTCTCTCTCTGTTGAGCTGTGCTATCTAATATAAGCAATATCCACAGGCAACTAAATAAAGCCTTGTTTCTTAATCACTTGTTTCAAGTGCTGACTAGCCAGCTGGCTCGAGGTTACTGTACTAAACACCAAATACCGACTGTTTCCATCATGATAGAAAATGCTACTTGCCCAGATGTTATAGTGCATACCTCTAACCCAGCAGGAGGGAGGTAGAGGCGGGATTGAGTTCAAGATCCTGTCTTACTGGAGCACACTGCTGCAGGGCACATATTCTGTATCCGTCCTTCACCTGCCATATAGTAAATCTGCCACCACTTCTTCCCTTCACTGTTGAGCTGATGGTTGGGCCAGGGCCCTCATACCAAGCGTGTGCTCCATCATGGAATTGAACTGTTTGACCCTTTGCTTAATCACCATCAAAACCCTTATATAAAACATTTATTGACAAACTGGAAGTTTCATGTAAGAATTCACATAACGATTCATTAAAAACCATTAAAAGTACTTAGGATGTCAAATTTTATTTTGTTTTCAAGATAGGGTTTCTCTGTGTATCCCTTGCCATCCTGGAAATTGCTCTGTAGGATCAGGCTGGCCTCAAACTCAGAGATCCGCCTGCACCTACCTCTGCCTCCCCAGTGCTGGGATTAAAGGTGTGTACCATTTCCAGCGGTGTGTTTTTTTATGGATCACTTTTAAACAGGGTCCTCAACAGACTTAAGTCAGGTGAAGAAAATACCTAATACTAAGTGGGAAAGACCAAAGTCATCTGCAGTTTGACTTTGTGGCATCATGATTTTAGAGGCCCACAATTTCTTTTGAAGACAGCTTATCTCTGTAGGCAAATTCATTTTATTTATAGCACAGTTGTTACATTTTTAAAATATATTTATCCCTCAGTTAATACTCAGAGTAAATAATATGCTACAAGCAAAAACTATGCTATGAGGAAACCCTTTTTAAGTGTCTCCTTATTCTGGTGAGGCAAGGAACACTTCTAGCCACTGACTGCAAATTTAAAACTTAGTATCTAATTATCAAGACAATACAAAGCCAGGCATGCCTGCTAAATTCCTGTAATTCCAGCACTTGGGAGGCTAACACTGGACACCATGAGTTCAAGGCCAGCCTAGACCATAACCAGTGTGGGCCAAAGACTCTTCTCAAAAAAAAAAAAAAAAAAAGACATAATACAGAGCATATTAAAAAAACAAACAAACAAAGCCCTACTCTTTCTCCCTTTTGTAACTCCCCTACATATCTAGTTTTCCAGTAAAATAAAACTAGTGCTTATTTGATAAGCCAGGCAGATCCAGGAAGAGTAAACATTTCTACTTTTTTGTTTTTTTGTTTTTTTTTTTGCCATGGGAGCCCCCACTAGAGGTAGAGGAGAAACCTGCATTTTATATATAATTTAGCACTTAAAAAAAGCTGGTGTCATTAAATGCTTATTCAATAGAGCTGCTCATAGAATTCATCTGATAAAAATGATGACTTTATTGGTCCCATTTATCTCAAGGTAACTCTAATAATGCTGTTCACTTAGAACACAGCCAAATAGTGGGAGAGCTCAGCCCCAAAGAAGAGTGGAGTGTGAAGCCTTTCAGTTGGTTCATGCTTTTGGCTTGCATAAAGAAACTTGGAAGACATACAGTAAACTGGGCATAGTAGAGGCAGCCTTTAATCTCAGCACTCGGGAGGCAAAGGCAGGTAGATCTGTGAGTTCAAGGCCTGCCAGCCTAGTCTACAAAGTTCCAGGACAGCCAGGACCACACAGAAAAACCCTTGGAAGGAGGGAGAGGGAGGAAGAGAGAGAGAGAAAGAGAAAAAGAGACAGACAGACACAGACTGAGAGAAAGAGACAGAGAGAACCAGCTAGTTTTAGTTTTAATTTAGTTGAAAGATTAGATACTATCTCTTCTATCTGCTTTAAGAGAACACTGTAGATCAGTGGTTCCCAACCTCCCTAATGCTGTGACCCTTTAATACAATTCCTCATGTTGTGGGGAACCTCAACCATAAAATTATTTTTGTTGCTACTTCAAAACTGTAATTTTGCTACTGTTATGAACTGTAATGTAAATATCTGTTTTCTGAAGATCTCAGACGACCCCTTGAAAGGACTGTTCAATCCCCAAAGGGGCTGCAACCCACCACAGGTTGAGAACTGCAGCTAATGGTTTATCAAGAAAATACATCTAATTATCATGATTCTAAGCTGGGAAGTGCAGTGGGCTGGTAGATTTACTGTCTCACAAGGGCCTGCTTCCGTATTCTTTTCCCTGTGCTCTTGCATGATAGAGGGCCAACGGAACACTTTGGGTCTCTCCTATACAGGCCCTAATTCTACTCATGAGGACTCTACACTCACGATCTGTCACTTTCCAAAGGTTCTACTTATCACATTCCACATAGGGATTAGACTACAAAATCTGAATTTGATGCTGGTGGCAGAGGGTCATACTATAGGCATAAAGTAAGAATCTGGAAAAAATTCCGGCAAACGGTACAATTAAGCCATCCAAGAAATTTACAGCCCTAACAATGAAGGACTTGTGAGATTATCCCCTTTAGGATGGAGACATGTCCTGGACAACAGCATGTGGGAGCGAAGTCAGTGTGGCAGCGTACTCCTCTGGAAGAGTACTGAGGAGAAGAGGAACCAACTGTGGGAAAGGGATGTTCCTGCCTGTACCACCTCCAATTTCTTCTCAATGAAACCCAAGAAACACAAACAGAAATGGTGGTAATAAGCCTGATGATGAGTGTCAATGAAGACCTGAAGAAGTAATTTAAGTGTGATCTTCATGCTCTAGCTGTTATCCAGTACTTGTCAATGGAAGTTTGCTGGCTTCTTTTTCCTTGGTCTTCCAGAGCTTCAAGGTATTTTACTTACTGCAGAAGAGACTTCCCTATTCAACTTTATTAAACTTCACCTGCTTTGTGTTCTGTCTTCATAAATAAATATGTTTTCATAGCAGCAAGTCAGTATCCATCATTGAGAAGCATGCTTGCAAGGAAATTTGATGTTCCATCATGAATTATTTGCTCTCCAAGTAATTCATTTGCCAAATGTAAGTCAAATTCACAGCTCTCTATTAAAATTCGAGCCATTCTGTCATGTAAATACAATTAGATGGTGAAATCTCACCACCTTCATGGCAGTCATCAAAAACCTTAAAAAGAAACACACATAAAAAGTTTATATTCAAATTGAAGTTTTAAAATACCCCACTGATTTAAAGCAGTATTAAAAGAAAACACTCTTTGAAAGAGATTAGGACTATATTTAAGAGCACACTGTAACAGTGTCTACTCTGTGATCATAGTTAACTATAAGCTTTTTATTTTTAGCTAGTTTTTGTTTGATTTTTAAGACAGAGTCTCAATATGTAGCCCCAGCTGTCCTAGAACTTGGTATGTAGAACAGGCAGGCCTGAAACTCACAGAGATCTGCTTGCCTCTGTCTCCCAAGTGCTAGGATTAAAGGTGTGCACCATCCTGCCAGGCTTGGAGGCCAATTAACACAGCATAAAGGTGACCTCATCCACATGCCAACTGGGCACAGGCTTTCAGCAGGTGCACAGGAGTGAAGGAAGTGAGTCCTATACTTATGGACAACTTAATTTGCACTAAATTGAAGGATGTTTCTTGTTCAGCTCTCTTCGAAGGGTGCTAAATAGAATTTCCAGGATGTTGGCTTTTGTCTAGAAGTTGAAACTGGGTCACAGAGAGCTTAGGGGTACAGACAAGGATTATCATAATGATAAGGCAGAGTAGCAGCCCAAGAATATAAATGCCACAAGGATAAGAAGTGCTTTTTGCTCTCTATAGCCTCAGGATGTCCAGCACAGTGTTCATAAACCACCTAGGAATGAATGAGTGAAAGTGCTAAGGCACTCTGGGAAAACATTATCTCCAAATTTATTCTAAGTGATATTTTCTGCTTAGGTCTAAGTTTTTCTGGGGGGAGGGTACTAGGGGTTCAAATCTGGGCTGAGAGGCCCTGTGTATACTAAGCATGTGTTCTGCCACCGAATTACACTTAGCCTAAGTTCCCTCACTCTCTAGAAGAAATAATGCCAATAGCACCAAGGACACAGAAGGATTAGAATAAATTTGGCTCATGGTAGCTTCTCAACAAATTTCACTTCCCTCCCTACAGAGGAGAAATAGTTAGTCCCGATAAAAATGTACCCATTTCAGGGTCAAGAACTGAAGGGCATGTCTCTACCCTGAATGTTCCAAGAAATAATGTAAGACCTATTCATTAATGATCTGTCCATCAAGAATCTGTGGCGGTTTGAATAGCTCACGTGACACTTGTTGGTGAGAAGCCTGGTGTGCCTCTTGTTTTTTTATGTGACATTTGCACACAGTGGTGATAAAAGTAGAAAGTGAAGCAGCTTTTACTTACGGGGCAGAGGCCACAGGGTGCCCGGACTAAGCCTGTAGGTGGGAGGATTGGGTTGACTGCTCTGTACAGTTTCATGTGTCCATCTACACTGCCAACAGTGCCTTCCTTTGCAGCAATGATAGTCATCTCCACTTTCCCATCATAAATGAGTGTGTTCAGGATTGTTTCAATGTCCTCCATGGACAACTCTACCTAGAAAGGAGGTACGTTAGAAAGCATGCATAAAGGACAAAGAAACGTCCTTTCAGGAAGGTACTACAAACAGCAGTCACAGTGAGGCGGAGAAGCCGTGTTCTGGGGACGAGTACAGGAAGGCACAAAGAGAGCAAGTAACAGTCTACATCAGTACAAACCACTGAAATGCTAAGGACAGAAGTCTAACTTCATGCTGAGCCTCACACTGACTGATGGCCTCATCATTCTTAAAAAACAAAACAAACCCTCAAAAGCCTTATGAGGTAAGATTCTTTCTGACAAGAATTTGATGGAATTCGGGGAGGGGTGGGGACAAGATGATACAACAACAAAACCACTGAAAAGGCTCAGTGGTAGAAAATTTACTTAGTATGAGCCCTGGGTTCAATCCCTAGCATCACACAAAATCAAAACAACAAAGAGCCTACTGAAAACCAAAAACCCACAAAGAAGAAATCTCCCTCCCCAAGAATTTGATGGAGATTTATTTATTATTTATTTATTCTGAAAGACAGGTTTCTCTGAGTAGTCTTGGCTGTCCTGGAACTTATGCCTGGAACTCAGAGATCCACCTGCCTCTGCCTCCCAATTGATGGAGAATCTTAAAATGTCTTGAAGCAGAGAGACACTTGAGCCATGAAATAATTCTAGTTCCTAGTTTTTTATCAGTGAGAAATCTGGGGACCAGGAAGTAAAAATGACTTGTGCAAATGCCACTTTGGCTTCTTTGCTGATCATGAAAACCATCAGTGTCCTTATGTAAAGGTCTTCAAAGGGTGCTGATGATACCATTTACATTTCATTAAGTAAGAGAGTATTAATAAATGACACTAATGTTGTGGCAACTGTCACACAATCAAGAACTTATCAGGACAATTTGACTTTGGGTGGT